TATCCTGTACAGTGGAGAGAATCTAAACTATGTTGTTGTTGATTATTACTGAAGAAAAGAAGCCTCAAAATGGTATTGGAAGAGTTACAAATTCTGTACTGCTACCAAAAGATTCTAGAGGACGTTAAAACAAAGTCAGGAATATCTAGTGCTTATGCAGTGGTGCCAACTAGACTGCACCCACACTACTCGCTCCTGGATCACTGATGCTTGAGGAGCGATTTGGGCACAGCATTGATCACATTCTAGTGTTGGCTCTGATGCCAGTTCTTTCTGAACTCTTGGCAAATTATTTAACCACTCTGCCTCTGTTTTCCCATCTGTAAAATGGGGGTGACAGTACTTACCTCTCAAAGGTGTAGAGAGCTTAGTTAGTTAGTCTGAAAAGCTCTATTTAAATGCTAAGTATTATTCTTGAGTGGGTGGAGCAAAACTGTCAAGTGAGAAGAGAAGATGCTGGCTACTATAAATGCTTCGTCTGTTAAAAAAAAAAGTAGCATAGTTATTCTGAGAAGACAAACACATTTTACAGAAGAGGAAAGCCATGACCACCTTTCTACCTCAGACCTATCTTCATGAGTAGTATTGGAAATAGCTTTATATTCTGTTCTCTGCAAAGTATTTTGCTTTTATCAAGCTTACGTCATTCTCTAGGCAAAGAATCCTTAAAAATAGCCCCCACATAAGTTAAAAAGAAAAAAAAAAAAATTCTAAGCAGTGAATTTGGTGGCTTTTATTTTTGTTCTGAATATGAGGTTATGTGTAAAGTTGTTTTTCTGCCTGTGTTTGTATGCATCCTTTGTCCTCTGCTGCCAAGTAAGTGCTACTTCAAACACTACATTGTAACATTATTCCTCTGTGATAATAATAAATAAATGGAATATATTGCAGTAAGATGAGAAAATGTATGGAATTTGTTCAAGTTTTGAGTTCCTTCAGGGATGGCACTTCTCATTAATACGTGCTGCAAATTTAATTCTGAAGAGAAGTAATTTTGAGACTGGAATGTGGCTTTCATTTATATATATGAGATAAATCAGTGTTTTCTCCCATAAGTCTGTGTGTATCTTCTAAAGTTTTCCACCCTCAGTGATTTAGTCGGAGTCCTGTTCAGCTGCATGACAGATTTTAAATATGATCAACAGAGAAGCACTGCTTTAATTTAAGAAGTTCTGTGTATACATATTATGAAACAGCAATAATACAAGCAATAATACATGAAGATGTGTCAAATATTAGAACTGTAAATTAGTCTACGTTTCAATGCCATTTAGTCAGCATGCTCAGCTGTAACGTAGTACTAGTTATTCAGTCATGATGTGTACTTTCTAGCCTCATCATGTGTTAATGTGGGGTATTTCCATTAAGTTTTTGTCAATAAGTGTTAGAACTGCTATGCTTAGGGGAGGAAAATAGAGTAAAACTTCCTTGAGGTGAAAGCACCTGTCTTTGTGGTAAGGAATTGTGAGGGGCAGAAATATCTAAATAACTCCCTGGGGTTGCATTTAGACATCTTAATGGCCTGGTTTTTGTGTACGTTGAGGCAGCTTTCCTTCTCAACGTGATGATATCAAACAACCTTTAATACATTTTCTCTGCCATGTTTTAGTAATAGTGGATGTATTCAAAGACCATGTTATTTTTTTTTTAACTTCTTCTAGCTTAGGAATTTGGGGAAAACAAACAAACAAAAAAACCTGAAGACTTTTCTTTGAAATCAGCTCCATACATGATGTTTTGGGTCATATGACATTTTTCTCCATTCTCAACTATTTTCTGTTTGTCAGAAATACTTCAGACTTCTGCGTCACAGCATTTTTATTACTGCGTAATTTTGCTGCATTATAATTCTGAACTTGTTTATATATATTGTGAGCAATACACCATGAAACGCTAGGGCAATAGTTGCTAATAATGACTATGAAGAGCATGGCCTGCTTGACCAGAGAAGCACAGCTGAGAGATAAGATCAACAAAACAGCTCTCAGAGTTGAGCAGAGAGGAACTAAAGCTGCAGTGTTAGGATAAACCTAATAACAAGCATTTGTTAGAAATAAAAGGCTCCTTTCTAAACGCTGACTGCATGAACTGCAGTGCTAATAGCTGGAGTTGAAGCAAGATTGAGATAATATTTGTCTTGTCTTCTCCAAAAAAAACAAAGCAAAAAAAACAAAACAAAAAAAAACCAACAGTGTTGTTGATGATCAGGCTTGTATTCTTGTACTGCTGTTCATGAACAAATTAAAATGGCTTAAGGCATTGGGGGAAAAGGAGCTTCAGAATGATGCCATGTTTGCTCAAAAAGAATAAGAAGAAGAGTATGAGTTGGACTAGCTGGCCTTCAGAAGTGCCTTAAGGATTCTATGATTGATTCTGTGATTCTGTCTGATTTTCTCTGTATTAGGGCTGCTGTCTATATTACCCTACATGGAGAGATTGCCTAAGCTGTGTTTTCCCTGATCTGGGACTTTTTCACTACTACAAACATGGCCTATTCATCTTTTCCTAAATGTAATGAGTAGACATTTGCCCCTCAGTCAAAGGATAAACCCAATTTTTTTTTCTTTATCTCATCTATGCAGAATAGACCTCATTCACTTATTTCAAATGTAAAAGTAAATAAAATATGATTGACTGGTCTTGTTTTTTAAAGGTATATGTGAAAATGTGCTTTTTTCACCTTCCACTCTGAAACAGATTTTCTTGGGTGTTAATATTCTCCCTTTCTGGACCGAGGCAAGGACATCCAGATATTCAGGTGATACTATGTGAGCTACTTGAATTATGAGACTTCAGCTCTGCTAGCTTAGAGAAGCAGAACCCAGGTACAAGCTGTCCATGGACACATAAGAATTTGTGTCAACCCGCTGTCCTGGATCAGGGCTTCTGAGCTCATAACTGTTATTTCTACGGTTAAAAAACGTAGGGCTTTTGGTCATTTACAATACAAATCAGCCTCTGGAGAGAATTTGTGACATGTATTTTTTGTTCTCCCTTCTAGTATAGAGTTGCTCTTCAAAAAACCTTCCTGAAGGTAAACATTTGCACCACAGCAAAACTGAGGAACCAGTCCTGTCCATTGTAGTGCAGAAATGAAGTTGTCATTCCACAAGGCTGAGTATTCTGTTCCCACAACGACAATGAAAAAATCAGCCTTACAAGTGTAGCCAACGTGTTGATTGATAGCAGTGGTATGAAAAAAAAAACAAAAACTTTAGTGGGATAACTAAAAGGGAGAGCTGCTTTAGCCTTAAAGACAAATGAAGCTCTTAGTGATCAGTAAGTATTCCTTATGCTTGTCACAAAAGGAACTTTCTTCCAGTGGTCAGCAAAGATGAAATCTTCCTTGGTTTACACATCTTTGGGAATCTATCTTCTGCCTTTAACACCACTTAAATATTCATGATGTTCCAGCAGAAATTGCACTCTTTGCAACTTCAAGCTCTGCTTTAGAAAGAACAGCTGCAGGCAAGTACAGCAGCCTTTGTTGGAAGAGGAAGGCAGGGGGTTGCTTCCAACTGCTGCAGACAGCACCAAGGAATTCCTTTTAATGAGACCTGCTCTGTTAGCTTGCTTATTAAAAGTGATAAACCAAGGAAGCTGAATAGGTTTCCTAGATGCCAGTATGTGTTAAAGATTAATGCCTACACAGAAAACAAGTAAACCATATAGACAGAATCTGTCTTACATCTTAGTTATCATCTCTGAAACATATTATCCAGATGAACTATTCATGCTCCTGTTGGTTACTCTTTTTATAGTCAAGTAAGCACCCTGACAATGTCTTGTTTTTAGACATTTACTATCTAATATTTAGCTTAGAGAAATATACTTCAGAAATACTCATTTTATGTCAGTAAGGTAGCCTAGGGTATGTAGCTCAAAGAAAAATACCTTGGTATTAAATGTATGTAAAGCAGTGGAGAATGTAGTTTTTAGGATTTGTTGCCAGCTAGAACAAGTGACTTGGTTATAAAAATATATATATACATGAAAAACACGGAGCGGTATTTCAGCCACTCTTCATCTGCATGTGAAATTCCTTTTTCCCCCACAGTAATCATTATGTCTTTATAACTTGGATATAAATACTTAGAAAAATTGCTAAAAATAAAAAGTACCAACAGTTTGAGATTCTCAAGCTAGTTTTAAGTCAGTTAGGAAAAAAAGCTGCTTGGATGAGAAAGATTTACCTGAATTTTATATGGAAATAGGCAAATATTTGATAAAATACAGTAACTTCATATGACTACAAGCCTGAAGAGTTGTGGTGTAACTGTGGCTCTTCAAAAATAGGTAGCAAAACCATTCATTTTTCTTCACAAGAGATGGGATTTTGCACACTGAGGGATTCATCTTTATCATGAGCAGTTCTGTGCAATTCTGTTTCTCTATGTATTTGCAGTGTGCTATTACTGCCTAACCCACATATGAGATTTCACACATTAGAATAAGAGAGTGGACAGAAGATACACTCCAACTGAAACTGCAGTGAGCTACATCTGAAAGAATGGGAAGGTCTGGTCTGAAAGAAGGGAAAGTTAAGGGTTCCCCTGTTCTGGCTTTTTAAAAACAGATGGGAAGTTTGCTTTCTTTCAGTCTTCAGAATCCTTCCCCATCTGACATGATCTTTCAGAGACATTGAGATTGGCTTTTCAGTGACATCAACAGGTTTGCTCAACACTCACAGGTACACAACATCACATCCCATAGACTCACATGTATACAATTTAATTAAATGTTCTCTAATCTGATTCTTCTCAAATGACAAGGAGGACATTTCTCTTGCTCTAGACTTCCCTTCTGGCTTCAGGGACCTGGGTTTCCTGTAATGGTATTGAATTACTGATAAAGGCGGAGGTGAAGAGGAGATTCAGCACTTCAGACCAATGTGTGCTTTGTCACCAAGTCCCCTTCTGCAATGCGTCCACATTTTCCATGGTTAACCTGCACAAATCTTAGCAGTTCTTCCTTGTTTAGGAGTAGGAGGTCCACCAGAGTCTCTCCCCTCACCAGCTCCTCGGCCATATGTTAGGAAATTGCTGATAAAATTTTCCCCAGTCACCATCACTGAGTCAGTGTCCCATCTTATGCAGAGCTGAGAAAAAGAGCAATGGATTAATAGGGAAGGACATTTTAAATGCAGATGCTTGTGTTGGTTTTGCTTAATGCCCCTGAAAGTGTTTTAGTGAACAGTTGTGAGGAGTCTAATGAATGGCTGTGACAAACATGCACACAGAAAGAAAAACTGTTCAGATGCATTTCTGTCTCCCTAGCCCCAGCAGCCCCTCTGGAATGGAAAACATAGTTCTGACCTACTTGCTTTCAGTAGACTGCAATTATAGCGCCTATCAATTTTCTATAAAAATACAGATGTGAACAAATGGAAAACCTGAGTGGCTCAAACATGAGCAGAATAAGAATGTTACTCCCTCCCCTAGGCTCCAGCTCCTGCCAAGTTTTCCTTTTTCCAGGCTGAAAAGGAAAACTAGGTGAAATGGAAGTAGAACATCAAAATAACTGTTCACATTTTATTTTGAAATATGTGCCAGCCTTTGTACACAAACAAAACATGCCATGGTATCTGTCTGCCTACTGCCTACACGTGCATATTTTTCCCCAAAGGGATGTCTCCGTATTTGCTGTGGGTAATTACTGGTTGCCTTTGTGAAAGATTACTTTTGGTCTTGAAATTTCATTTGGTTTCTCATAGCACAGTTTCTGCTGCCCACTTAAAGGCAAGGGCCTGAGCCAGGTGTCCAAAAGCAGACACAGCAATCTAGCCCCAGTCTCCTCAAACCCTAAAGAATGTTCATTTGCTTGATCTGCTGATTGCAGTTTTGCTATCCCACCCCATGTCTGCTGCTAGAGCTCATCTTAGAACAATAACTGTGACTCCACAGGAAAGGCAGAAAGCGACAAATGAGTTTACTGACTTTTGAGTTACTCACATGCGGGGACACTTCTAGGCTTGAACAGATGACGGAGCATCTGGTGAGGGGTGCAGCTGGCCTAGAGAGCACAGGCAAATTGCTTGCACCTGTGCACCCCCTCTGACCCAGGGTGGAAGCACCCTGGGCTCATACAAGGGCCGGATACAGAAAGGAGACTACCTCCTGGACTTAGGTGCTTTTTTGTGAAAGAGTGTTGTGTTGGTAGAGAGCACCTTCACCAGGTGAGTGAGTTCAACTCTTCTTTCTGTATATGACTACTGGCCTAGCTGTGAATATTTTGCCAGTTATTGTCAAGAACCTGTCAGAAGAAATTTTGCTTTTCTGTGAGCAGGGCACTATTTGGTATAGACCTTGATAGCACTTGGAAAATATTGATTTGCATTGTTGTTATTGCAAACCAGTTGGCCTCCTTTTCTTATCAATTCTAGTAATTGTAACGCTATTTTGAGAAGTGTGATTAGGAGATAGCTACAGATAAATGTTTTTCCCAAAATGCCACTCCCATGTATCTGCATTTCTTCTTGACTTGCTTTCCCTCGCATACATACACTTCTTATGTTTGGCTTCTTAATTTGCATATTCAGAGACCATCAGTATCTAAACATGAAACAAGACCACCAAGAAACCAAACACCTAGTTTTCTAATTAAAAATTCTGCAAATTTGTCAAGGTTGTAGCTCTCTTTGTTATTTATAGTGTCTCTTGTGCCTTATAAATTACTACTAAGTGGGGAAAAATGGTACGATTTCTATTTCTTTGCACAAAGCAGTGCTGCCACTGAAAGCTTCTTGGAACGTATGTCTTAAATTAGAAACTTTTTGTGAATAATACAATGTCATTACACACAACTGAGTTATATTTCTTACAGGCTGATTACAAACACCGTTAAATGAGATCTCTTCATGACACTGCTGATTTTAGGGCTCTTTATGGTTCAATATAAACCAAAACAGGAAAGCATAATCATGCTTTTCAAAGCTATTTGAAAAGTGCATTAGCATACATACTGCAGCTTATGCCTGTCAGCTTTGTCTGCAGTTGTTACATATATTTGTTAGTTTTACCCAGTTGTGAAGGAAAGAAAAGTGAAAAATTAAGATTATAACATGTCTGTTACTACAGAGATTGGATAAAATATAACATTTTATTTAATGTAGTAAACAGCTTTAATGGTGAGAGGATATTTTTCTAACTATGTTTTGCCTAAATAGCTGATGTAGACAGATGCCTGAGGAATCTTTTTTTTTTCTAGTTTCCACTAGTAACATCTCTCCAGCCATGAGATTAAATGACATGATTCAGAGCTGTTGCTCTGTTGCTGCACAGTGGGTCCAGAGGAGGCCGTGAAGATGATCAGAGGGCTGGAGCACCTATTCTGTGAAGAAAGGTTGAGGGAATTGGGCTTCTCCTTGGAGAAAGTTCTGGGCAGATACCATTGCAGGCTATCAGTACTTGAAGGGAGTTTACAAGCAGGAGGGGGGCTGAATTTTCATGTAGGTAGACAGTGATAGGACAAGGGGCAATGGATTTAAACTGAAAGAGGAGAGGTTTAGGTTAGATGTTAGGAATAAATTCTTCCTCAAAGGTTGGTGATGCATTGGAACAAGTTGTCCAGAGAAACAGTGGATGCCTCATCCCTGGAGACTTTCAAGGCCAGGTTGGATGTGTCCCTGAGCAGCCTGATCCAGTGGGTGGCAGCTCTGCCCATGGCAGGGGGGTTGGACCTAGAGGATCTTCCTTGTCCCTTCCAATTCAAACCATTCTGTTATCGAAGTAACAACAATCCACACCCCTTGACCTTTTCTTCCTAAGACTGCTTGAAGTGGCAAAGTAGAAAGACAGGTACTAATATTGTAATAAAGCACACTTAAAAATTCAGTCCTGTGTACTACCCTTCCAGTAAGAATTGCCTCAAAAAGTAATTACTGGATCTGGTAGTATTTCAGCTAGTTGATATGTATCACAGACAACTGTGTACAACAGGACAGTTATGCTGAAAGTAGTTTAATAGAACTATCTATGACAAATTGAAGAAGTAATATGTCTGAACACCAGCTGGCTGCTAAGCCAATTGCCTCAGCACCTCACTTGAGATGCACTCCCACAGGAGAGGCAGTGCCAGTCCCCCAGGGCCTCTCAAACCTCATCCTCCCATCAGGCAGAGTGAAGGAAAGAGCCATGACCCAATGTGGGCTCCCTTGGCCCCAGTTCAGGATCTTTTAATATTCTTTTGGTTGCATTTATTGTTCAGCAGTACTTCGAAAGGGAAGCTGTATTTACCTGGTTGGTATTAGCAGAGCAGAGTAGGTAATTAAGAAATAATGACCTTAGAAATGTGCCCTTGTCTTAGAGCAGGAGAAAGAAAGGTAACTTGGGATTGAAGGGGAGCACTCATCTCACTGTTCAACTCCAGGAACCAAGCACCAAATAAGCATTCCTATCAAATCCAGTAAGTAACTTGGCCAATTACCTATTCTCCCATCCCCATTAAAGTTGTGTGACTAAATACTGCAATCACTTTTGTTCAGACTTGAGTTTAGCGTTTAGAGCATTTTACTGATTTTGTATTAAAAATTTAATCATGAATTACTGCTTAGTGTCAATATAATCTGTATTCAATCCTTGTGAGTGGGTATACATAGGAAACACTGTTATTCTTTGATCACAAGCAGTCTTTTATACATGCAAGCACAGTATCTGTCATGGATTGAACCACACTTTTGATTCCCAGCTGCCCTTGTGAGAAGATTGAGTTGGTAAACTGAACGCTAACACGCTTGCTAATAGATTCTGATAAATTGCTAATGTTGAAATTACAGATGATGTTACAGTATGCACCAAAGAGGTTTGTGTTTGTTTGTTTGTTTGTTTTTCCATGAATGTTCTTCTCCCATCAGAGCCTGTCCTGTTTGTTTACTTGCAGGCACTAAAAACTTGCCATTTGTGGCTGCTGATTTCCTATAACCCCATCACCTGAGGGCTCTGGACTTTATGATTCAAAATTTCTTTGAGATATTTACTTAAAAACTATGGAATTTCACACAGAGGCACAGCTAGGAGTGCCAAAGAGCTATGTTGACAAGTGCCCAGACTGCAGTGCCCGAGCCTAAGGCTGTGACTCTACCTGTGCCAGAAGACAGCTGACCTCTGGAAACTAAATTTCATTACAGTTACCCACGTTTGAACTTTGTCCTTTGGACACAGACAGGAGTCACTCATCAAAGCCACAAAAAGGCACAAATCTCATAATGAGCCCTGCAGTGGCTGATACACATTCCTCAGTGTATTTCAATTACAGGTCAGATTCTGTAATCACCTAAAGAACTCTGCGTTATATCTGATCCTCTACAACAACACCCACAGGTATATATAACTCTAGACAGCCAATAGGAGGTCAAGACAGCATCACATTTGCTTGGCTTCTCAAAAAACTCATCTGGAAGAGCCTAAACAACCTAGTACAAATCCTTTTTGTACAACTTATCTTCAGTAGGAACACTGCACTGAATCTGTGTTCATAAATGTTAATCATTCCCTTCAGTTCACCCATAATTATTACTGTTCTCCTTAGAAATGATATTTATAAGCTAGTCTGCTAAGAAACTTAGCTCAGAGGCTTTGTATTTCCACTTTTTCTCTTATACTGCAAATATTGAATGATGGAAGTATGACAGTCATTATGATCCCTATCTATTTTGGAGATATTTTTAGTTTTCTCGCAATTATACACTGCAGTCCAGGGTTAGCAATCTATGTCAAAGTACTTACAGAATTCATCATGTATAGGCACCTAATTACTCTGCAAGAAATTACTTAGTGGCTTAACAAGGTAATTTAAGGAACAAACTACAGAAGTTTCAGACAAATTTATCACTGCTCTTTTCTAGCCACGTGACATATTTTCTCAACCTTGTGAGAGACTGGCTTGGAGCTGTGTCAGGGGAAGATCACACTGGGCATTAGGGAAAGGTCCTGCACAAGAGGGCAGTGGGCATGGAAAAGGGTGCTCAGGGCAGTGGGCACAGCCCCAAGTGTTGGAATTCAAGAAGTGTTTGGGCAGAACTCTCAGACATAGGGTTTGGATTTTGGGTGGTGTTGTATGGAGCCAGGAGTTGGAGCTGGTGATCCTTGTAGCTCCTTTCCAATTCAGTATATTCTATGATTCTATTTACTTAATGGTTCTGCATGTTGGAAGCTATTTTAATTGTCTGAAGTTAATTCTCACAATTCTCATGTTCACTTCACTTAATTCTCATGTTTTACATACGTAGTCGGTACCAGATGCTAAAGCTACTATGGACATCAGCTTAAGTAGAAGGCTTCATCCCATAAATAAGACTTTGTACACAGCTCAGAAGTAGTGAAGTATGAGCTGTTCAATGTTATTACTGTTCAGTGAAGTGCTTCCTGGGAACAGAGGCAGACCTTCCTCCACTTACTTGAATCATAGCACTAGATTTCTAATACATGCCCTTTGGTTTACCCATCTGGCTTTATTAACATAACAAACACAAAATCTTTCAGACCTCATTTTCCTTGCTTTTTACTGATTTACAGTCCTTTCCTTCCCTGTTACCAGAGGTGTAAATCTTAAACATCAACATACGGTGTAAAAGTGGCAGATACAGAAGTGCTGCTTACCAAAATCACAGAATTATCGGCACGATTTTCTCAAACCCATTCGATTTTTTTTATTTTTTTTTTAAATGGGAATGTGTCACTCTGCTTTATACAGGAGAGCTGCGCAGTACAACTGCTGAAGCTGTACTGCAGAGCGCTGCTGTCATCTTGCATAGCTGCAGCCTCTTCCACCTCAGCCCTAGGAGTGCAGTGCTGGGGCTGTAAGTCAATCCCACAGCTGTGATGGAAGTGATTCAAAGGTCTGCAAGAGGGATAGCAACATAGAAAGTCTTTATGAACAGGATAATGAAATAACAAAAAAAAAAAAAAAAAAAAAAAAAAAAAACACCAACAAAAAAAAACAGAATGAACAACTGAAATCCCACTCTAAACTGTATATTATCAATTTCAGGTCTAATTATATTGATTGACATAAGGTGTGCTAATCTGGAATGAAAGAAATATTATTTCTATATATATAACACCTGCCTCAAGCAGCTTGCCTTCTAAAAACTCACACCAGAAAGTCTACAATCCTTAGTTTACAGATGAAGAAAGGACATATGAAGAAGCTCTGAATGCTCTTAGGACAGCTGTTAGCCTCAGAAAAAAAGAACAGACTTACTTAATCCTGTCACATGTATGGTAACCAAAAAGGCAAGATAATTCCTTCCATGGAAGGGTTAGGTTCATTAATAATATATTTACCCCTCTACAGAGGGAAAAATTATGGGGAAAAAAAATAAATGTGTGTGTGTGTATATATATATATATGTATATATATATCAGCTGCTTAAAAAATCAAAGCAAGAAGCTGTATGGTGTCGTGATGATACTCCTATGAAGGAGAGGGGGACAAAAATATCCATGTGTGAAGAGGCTGAAAAAGACAGCTGCTGCTCTCTCAAGTCCAAAGCAGTATCAGGACAAGAGCCTGGGGAAGACAGCTGCATCTGACTTACTCACTTAAGGGCCCCTTCTCCTTTTCACCTGAGCTCCATAGCCCCATACATACAAAAATTCACTTTATGATTGAGCTCCAGACCCTCCAGAACTTAACATTCTGCCTCCAACAAGTGTCCAAGTATTAGTTTTAAATTTAACTTCCATTCAAGCACCTGATGAAAGATAGCGGCAACCTGCACACAGAACTGGTGTTTCCAAAGCTATTACAAGTTACATTGCCTCATTTTAAGTCACAAGAATCACTATGCTTCTTCCCTATTTCCTCCCTGATTGCCCAACAGCAAGTCAAGCCTTTGTAATCCACTCAATAAAATGTTGGTCAGGAAAAGGTTCATTAAGTTGCAACTCTCCTTTGCTCTTGGGAAAATCAGTACCTGAGCTTAGGTTTACTGGTTGCCAGATTTGTCAGATATGATCTGCAGTATACATTTAAACAGAGGGGTAATAAAACTGTGAGTCATCAGAGAAGGCAACTTCCCATTCACTTTGGTGCATACAGAGAAGTTTCACTGAAGAATACGGACTGCAAATATCCATGTTGACAATGGAAAGGAGCCACAGCTATAGCTGTAACTTGGATTCAGTGATAGTCTTTTGGCATGAACACCCTTAGATATTAGTACTCCCAGCTGACTTCAGTTTCAAGACTGCCATACTCAGAGGAGTTGAAGAACTCCAATCAAATCCTTATTTTAAGACAGAATTTTTGGAGGAGAAAAATGCATTCTTCCCAAAACACATTATTTGTTATCAAATCCCAATCCTTACATATAAATCCAACGCAGTTTGATCTCAGCGCAGGCTATTTATTTTGTTCCTTCTGTTGGCAATGCCAAATGAAAACCAATTTTTGCCTTGCAACAGATTTCTGGAGGCCCTGGTAAGATATCATCCACTTCTGTATCTTACTCCTATGCGAGGCCACACAGCCACTCAGAACGGGACTCTCAGTGAGCCTTACAAATCATTAGTGCTGGCCTCTGATCTGTGAATTTTTACAGTTGGAAAAGATTTTTAAGACCATTTAGTCCAACCATCAATCTATCCCCACCATACCCATTCAGGGTTTTTTCACTCTTTCACTTTGCATAGCTCAGAATCTGGCAGCTGATGACCTGGATCAGGCCTGCACAGAGGACATTAAGTGCAGCAGTTCTCATCTGCTAGTGGCACGGTCTTGTCTTTGCCCTTTTCCTGGCAAATTATTGTGTTCTTGGCACAAATTCACTGTTTTCTGGGGAAGTGGCTGGTGCTGAATCACAGAATCATTGGGTTTGGAAGGGACCTTTGGAGATCATCTAGTCCAGCCTCCTGCTAAAGCAGGTTCCCTACAGCAGGTTACACAAGAAAGCATTCAGGCAGGTTTTGAATAAATTCAGAGGATATTGGTGCCATGACAGTAGAGGTTGAACCTTCCCATCAATATCCCATTACATTTTGGTGCCTTGTGACAGACGGCAGTGGAGGGGCAGTCTGACAAAATGGTACTTGACATGGAAGTGTGACAGAAGCAAAGGTGTGTCATTGAATTCCTCCATGCAGAAAAAAAAATCACCTACTGACATTCATTGATGCTTGCTGGACATTGATAGAGACCAATCAGTGGATGTGGTTTGAGGTTGTGGGTGGCGAGTTTCAGCAGTGGTGACAGCTATAGTTGCTGTCACTTCCACTGGTCCAGATTTTTGCGAGAATGACATACAGGCTTTTGTTTAGGGCTGGTGACAATGCATAGCTGATGCTAGTGACTATGTTAGAGAAGAGTTTTGAAACTGATAATTTGCTGTATCACATACTGTTATTATTCTCTTTGTGTCTGTTGTAGTTTTTATGGACATAAATAGGAGGCATTACTTTTGGGGCTACCTACCTATTTTTATACTGGTAGTGGGCAAAACCTGGTACAAATAGTATAAAGTGTATCTCTGTGGCCGACCCAGCTGGTGAATCTGTCGACACAGAAGGAGCTGTGAGAAAATACCTTTAAAATGAGGTATATATGAAGATTATCTTGATTGTCTGTTACTTAATTTATGGCCCTGCATGAGTCTGTTATGTGTAATGGAGATAACTACAGGTAGTGAAATGAATGAGCAGAACATGTATTGTAGGAATCAGTAAGTTGTTCAAATCTCCATTACTGCTCTGTCAGGTAAACTGAAGTAGTGAATAGTTGATGAGCTGCAAGGTTGATGCAAATTGTCATTTGGATATGATGAGGCTCTAAATTCTGAGTTTTCTAAAACTTTTGAAGCTTGCCTTCTTACCTCTAGCACATCTGGTGCATGACATCAGAGGTTGATTCCAGCCTTGTCTCACTGACATATTTAGGAGATCTGAGCCTGCTGTCTGAGACTGTGTCACAGAGCACATCTAAATTTGTAAAGCAGATGTGCAGTACACATTGAGTTCTATGTTTAAGAGTATACTATAGAAGAATCAGCCATCAGTGTCATGATGTAGCAGTCAGAATTGATGTTATTCTGGGTTCCAGCTCCAAATTCTGCCTTTACTTTCTTTTTATTTTCTCCTAACAGAAGGACAAAGAGAGGCATATCTTCTTGATGGCCAGCCTTGCACAGTGTGCACTGTGCTTGTGTGTTGAGGTGTAGCCCACCTACCCATCTTTAGAAGCTCACTTCTGGAGTAGGATCAAAAATACATTAACAGGCAGCAATTAGAGGAAAAGCCCAACTCATGAACTCAGTGAAAGTGTGGTTAATCCACGGCGGAGAGAATCGCCTCCTTATTCTACTAGCCATCTGTCTGTGCACTCATCTACTCTGGGACCAAAAATTAGTATGTAGAAGTCTTTTTATTTAGTGCAACAGAGCAGAGAACTTCCTTGTATACACCTGGAGTGTTCATGTAGGCAGCCATTTGAACAAACATCCTTCAGTGCCAATGGAGAGATCTGCCAATCTTCAGAAAGACAGGAAGATGAATGATTCTATGCTGTTTTGCACAGCAGCCAGCTTCTTCTTGCACTGCTATCACACTGGGCTGCCAGCTCACACAGGACATCTGAAATGTTGCAGTCAAGCCTCATGAGTGAAAATATGTCCTTAACAGCACAGAACATTCTGAGCAGATACCTGATTCAATGCCATGATGGCAGGGAATAAGTTGTACGAAAGCAGGCCTAAGGCAGACAGATATGCTTGAATCTCTACCAAAAGGATATTGTGATGAGGGGGAAAAACATAGAATTTGTTGTAATCAAAATAGGCACCACGAATATTTACAGTGAATTATTTCTAATCAAATATCACTGCATTGTCTGCCTTGCTACAGCTCTTCAAGCAGCACTTTTCCCCCATTGCTCTGCTAGTGGATCAGATTTTTAGAAGGTTGCAATTTCGAATTACTCTGAATTGTCTGCAGTGCTACCTGAATTATCTGAAGTGAGAGCTCTTTCCTGACCCGAAAAATTCACTCTGATACCCAACTCAATTTATAACCTCTAACTTCTGATACACCTTGTTCTTCAATTCACTCCCCACAGTAATCATCTGTAAGCATACTTTACAAGTGAGGTGGAACCAGTATAATTTAGGGATGAATTTGGGTCTCTTAACAGCTGTGATAAAATAAAATAATTCATGAAGTGGAGTATGAATTTTAATTTGTATGACAGTCCTTTAATGAGTATGCTAAAAATCATTCTTGAATGCAGTTGTATTACAACAGCTGATTTCTTTATTTATTGGAATTACCCAGAAAAATAAAGCTTTTGGTCACTGCTAGTGGCCCATGGGGCAATGTAGAGAGTCTCAATAGAGATTTATTGTAATATTTTTCAAATTGACCTGAATTTTCATACCCATAAATAACTGCAAGCACAGACTAGTTAATAAGAAGAGTCAGGGCACATTTCACTACAAATCTCTAATTGCTAGGCTTATGTAGTGGAAATGCCAAGTCACAACCTGAAGCAGTGGGTGAGCACCTGAAGCAGTGATTAAGCACCTGGTAGGAAGGCTGGGCCAACTCAGGGGAGCTCAGGTGCATGCAATGTACCTGAGTGACTAGAAGGGGTGGAGCCAGGGTCCACCCCTTCCCGGACCTCAGTTAAGGGTGTGCAGTGGAGGCAAGTATGTCTTGCTGGAGATTCCTGTCTGTCTGAGATCTTCTATGGGTAAGTAGTTTTTTGTTTTTTCCTTCTTCCTTTGTTTCTTTATCTGTGGTTGCTGCTTTTGAGCTTGTTCTCATTTGCTGAGCCAAAGACTTTGCTGCCCTGCTATTATCATCCCATTATAGAATTACAGCTCACAACTGAGAAGTTTATTGTTGGAAATGATTTATGAGTTGTATAGAATATGCTCAGTTTGATGTTTTACTATTTTTGCAAGCAAATTTTTCTTCCAGAAAGTTACTGCAAAACTTGCACAGTGCTTTAAAAAAAAAA